GCACATCTTTTTTACAAGGCGTGCAGTGCCGGCAGTAACTGAAGATACCTTCCAAAATGTTCAGCATCCTGCCCCGACGAAAAGCACGTGACGGTACATTTTCGATTTGCGTGCTTGGTATGTAAGGAAGGATAGACTGGCGACTTCGAATCTTCCACCAATTTTGTGTGTACGATCAAGAATATTTTGGCGTCTTGTTGAGATAATTAATGAAAGTGCAGGATTAGCCTCGGTCAAAACAGCGCGATCCTTCTCTCTGCCTTTCTCTGATAGTTATGATTCGGAAGCAGTCTCATATCCATTCGTAGCGGTGGCGGGAATCGTGCAGACATATTTCGAGACATAGGTTACACATGCCACCGAAATATTGATCGATTCCTATTCACCCACGGCAGCCATTTCTGCGCATTGCACGTAGTGCCTTGTGATTTTAGTAAATACTTGCGAAGACGCACACTGTTCGCAGCTTCCAGACAGAATCCGGTGTTAAATCCCCAACTCCAAGACCTCTGTCGTAAGAAAAGAATTACCAATTAATGCTTTCCTTGTCATTTTCTTACTGCAGTGGGGGGGTTCGGATTTTTAATCGTTGTACTCTGTTATTGTAGCTTTTAGCCCTTAACCAAAACTTCACCACTAGGTAGCAGTTTAGACTCTATTTACGGCTTTACACGAAATACTCACATAACAGGTGAACGTCACTTGGCAGCCGACGAGTTTACAGTAGGTGGGCTAACACATGTAATGTCCACTTAAATTCCGAAATACGTTTTCGCTTCGAAAAGATTGATTAAGAAGGGTTGTAAAACTAGTCACCTGCAACATAATTCTACAATATTTCAGTTAACCTAGGATACCGGCTTTCGAATGAACTTCTTTCCGGCTGCATGCAAAAACCATACTCTGGAAAAATGACTACTTGCGTAGCAGGAATTTTTCTCATTAATTTTCGATGCCCCTCAATGTCCAATTATATTTCATGGAAAACATGCATAAAAATATTCATTCCTCCGCTCATTCGGTAGCAATTTACGTCTTCTTTCAATCTTATACTCTAAGGAAGGGTAAAATTCGCTTTTCAAAAACTTTTCCAATTCCTGAATAATCTTAAACCCGCTCTATCGGCACACTTGGATCCAGGGTTTCCAATCTACAAGCCGTATATCTTCCGCGTACGGAAGACCACACAGTTCTCTACGGCAATAAAGGGGAACCATATAGGGTTCATGTGATTTAGCAGTGGATTTGCTTCATATTGTTAACTTTGCAAGCTACATTGGTAAATGCAGAGACATGACGATTTATGAACGGCCATTTCACGGTATTTAAAAGTCCCACAGTTAGAAACTTTTTTGAAACCGAATTATGTCCTCCTTTCGAGTATAAAATTGGAAGAAGACGTAAATTGCCACCGAATGAGCAAAAGAATGAATATTTTTATGCATGCTTTCCATGAAATATAATCGGACGTTTAGGGGCATCGAAAATCAATGAGAAAAATGTATGTTATATGACTAGTCATTTTTTACAGAATGTAGTTTTTGCATGCAGCCGGAAGAAAGTTCCTTCAAAAACCGGCACCCTGAGGTATCTGAAATATTATAGAATTATGTTGCAGGCTGACTAGTTTTACAACGCTGCTTAAGTAATCTTTTCGAAACGAAAGCGAATTTTGCAATTTCGGTTGACATTTCATGCGTTAGCCCACCTACTGTAAGTGTGAACAGTGCGCATACACACGGTGTTCATAGGGGGCGCTGTGGGCAGAAAGCGCAGATCTGTATCTTAGGAAAAAAAGGAAAACCACTGGGTGAATTAAGTTTGAATTCAAGATGTCCAACGATCTGATCATAAAGAACGCAAGCGACGTGAGGGTTGGCCTGATGCGGTAAAATAAACAGGAGGGTCAAAAACAGAGAATGAGGGTGTTTGAGGTCAGCACTTCTGACACTTCGGTAGGGTTCCTCAGAACAACGATCACACTGCTGGCTGCTAACTATCAATCAATTGCTACACCTATTACCATCGTCTGCAATGAGTGTGGGGACTTTTAACGTTATTGGCAGTGTGTGGCAGTAATGACAACTGCACCCCATAAATACTGCACCCCTCGTTCGAGAATTAAATCAAAACGTCAGGCAACTTGAATTAATGTTCCAACCATATAGATCCCTTCTTCCTATTCGATAGTCTTTTACCGTGTTGCGGACAGAATTGACATGGCGGCATTCTGATACTGATTTGACTTTCGCCGATGAGTATAAGTGTGAATGATCCACAGGCGTTCTGTGTACGAAGATGGCGCCTTCACTTGGAGAATTTGGCTCTTGACGTTGACGAATATCTATATCTACTTGGAGCAGCTGGCGATAGTTAAGGTTTTCGGTCGTTGAAGTCATCCCGTCACGAAACATTGAGACCGATGCCATTGCCGGCCAGATCCTTAACGACAGATAGCCGTTTGCCATTCCTATCCTGTACAGAGAAGACGGTTGGTCTGACTTTACCCCATTTTTTCACTTCGTCAGTTGGCCACCACGGGTCTGTCCTAACGCAATGGCGTACCCGCACAATGTCCAGTAAGCCACGACTTGAAAATTGGCGTAACAACTCCTCGTTGCTGCTGCATGTTCGGTCATCCGCGTCTAAAAGTCCCCATTTTGTCCAAAGTAACCGTTCTGTGCGGGACTGAAGCAGATTCGGTAAGCGACCGTGTCCTTTCCTTGTAGTAGCTGCAGGCCATTCGGCTTGAAGATTGTCTCTGATTAGTGTACAACCTTGAATTCAAGTAGCCTAAGAAGACGACCTACAACATCCTAGTCGCTGTTGGCGTGTGGGTTAGCACTGTTTTTAGCGCCAGGATCGGCGACTCAACTTTCCGAGTCAATATCACACCTATAGCCAATACTGGTAATTGGATTGCGATAAGTAGCTATTTGGATGCGGACGATCAAGTAGTCATCCCATCAAGTATAAGCAGCCGCAATAAATGAAGGGCTTTTTAATTTATTGGGTGTTTCGGTGCATAGTAACTATATCTCGTAAATTCTGTTGCCTCTATGCGCTGACTCTCTCTACCTTTTATTGTGCACGCAATACCTTTTTGCAGGTAATGTTGATTTGACGACATTTTTACACTGAGTTGGTGAGTATGTGGTCGTGTGTGGAAAAGGGGTTGTGTTAAGGAATTTGTTGTACTTGTATTGGCTAGCATTGATTCTGACTCCCCAGCTCGAGACACCATGGGACCGCGAACTATTGCGACCCGGTCGTCGGTCATGCCCTTAGTGAATACTCGGCAGACTCAGTTCCCCGCCACGCCTGATTACACGATATCTGTTCTTGTCCTTAGCAGACAATTACCACGACGGCTGGGCTAACTCGGACAGGAATTAGGGGAGATGGCGTCGCCAACCAAGCCAAGTGAAACATCGGAACTTCCGTGCATCGTCTGAAGGACGTATGATTCTGCTCGCCAGTAGAACTACATTTTCGAGAGGCTGTCAGTGATCTGAGGCTGACGCTGTCAGCAATCCCTGACTACTAATGACAGGAAGAGTCAAAGAGCTTGATCAACCAGCACAAGCGCCGCGCGGGGAGGAAACTCCTGCAGGCTTAAGTCCGTTCATCAAAACAAATAGTGCAGTTAAAGAAAAGTTGCCAGATAGTTAAAGGCAAGTTAGTCTGGCACCGCGACACAGCAATATTACCTAAAGGAACCGGATGTCTCTCAACTATCAGTGCAATCCTGCAACAGGATCTCTTCGACCTCAGGATTTCACGACTGAGCCTTCGGCTTCCTGCTGACTTCGTACCGAACCCACCGACCCTCTCGGAACGCTTACCTTGTATATGATTGGGCTTTTGTTTATAAATGAGGCTGAACAGTCATGGAAAGTAACAGTAACAGTAGGAGGACTCAGCCCCCTTCTGCTACTGACTGCTGCCTTGAGGTGGCATGTGGCCACCACAAAAACAAGCAGGTCAGCGTCTGTCACCGACTCGACAACTGAAACTGCTGTAACGCACCCCCCCCCTCCGCACTTTAGACCGACTGTCATCAATCACGAGAGTGAACTGTCAAACTGAGTCGCAAAAGAACAGCGCGAGACTGCTATCAGCTTCTATTACACCTGTCTCGTCTATCGGAGCCTCGCTCTACAGTGAAGGAGGTCGTGGTGGAGACAACCGAATTTCTCCGGGAGCTTGCCGTAGATGGAAGGCGGAGAGATTTCTCATTCGCCGCTTCTAATTCCTCATATGGACCTCTACTTTACTTTGTCAGTCCACATCGGTGGCACGAAACAGGGGGTGCGTATGTGAAGGCACTGCCAACTGAAAACTTCGAGTAATAAAATTGGCTATATATATGCATATATCAACATGAGTAAAGATTCGAGGTCCAGATAGATTATCCCGTACATAATCCTCAAAAGAAGGCGAAGAAAATGAGGCGATGCCACGGACCACACTGTATTGGTGCTGAAGTTTCGGAAACTTCCTCGTTTCCATCATCAGAGCAGTGGTTTCACACTTCTGAAGGGTCGACTCGAAGGATGCGATGAAATCTTCCGGTCGAGCATCTCTTGTGTTGAACTTAGTGTCATAGGAGAAAACCTCCGGCTGCTGCTGTGTAAGGCGACGAGACGAGAGGTTTTGAACCAGGACACCGCCAGGAAAGAGCCCTATTTGTGGACGTATTCTTTCGAACTCCTCTAGCAATTGGTTATCGCGCAACCTGCGGTGGCAAAGTGCATTGGGGAGTATTGTCGATTCTAGCATTTGCAGATCGTGTGCGGTGACTATCGACCGGCATGCGGAAATATGCTGTTCTATCGCTCGTCGGTAATAACGGATGCGAAAGTGGCAGTCTTGTATCAAGACTCAGATCACTTTCTTTAAATCTGCCATTGTCCACTGGCAGAGGTCAGGCATCGCTGACAGGCTCTATCGAGTCGGCCCTTCAGAAGTGTGAAGCCAACGAAGAGTACAAACGTTCCATGCGGCAACAAGTGTCAACTCTCCTCCTCCAGCACAAACCCCAAAGGGTGATTTCCGAAGCAGAAGAACGAGAACTTCTGAGAATGCGGAAGATGAGGGATATCGTCACCCTGCCCGCCAACAAGGGACGCTCGACGGTTGTCATGGACAAGACCGAGTACACGGCGAAACAGGAAGGTCTGTTGGAGGACGAAGTTGCCTATAAGCTTTCGGAGACTGGCGGGTTTAGGAGGTACTTGAACAGTGTAAACAAGGCGATAGACAAGTTAAGGAAGGCAGGGACCCTCAAGAGGCAGGAAGCACTGACCGCAAAAGCCACCGATGTCGCCATGGCGCGCTTCCACGGTCGGCCAAAAGTGCATAAACCGGGAGTACCTCTACGCCCCATAGTCTCATTACGCGGCAACCCGACCTTTGGACTGTCGAAAGGGCTTTACCAACGATTCCGTTTCCTGACTAAGGATTCTGAATGGACGGTGAAATCAGGTGAGCAGTTTTTGAGGAGTATCAGGCATCTAGAAATAGAGCCAGACGAGATGATGGTGTCGTTTGATGTGGTCTCCTTATTCACCTCCATTCCAACCGACCTGGCCCTCAGCACCATTGACGAGCTTCTCCAGGAGAAGAACGATGAAACTAATCAACGGCTTAAACGAACGCACGTCTTCGAACTCCTGGAATTGTGCCTTAGAACCTTCTTCATTTTCAACAACCGGGTTTACGAACAAAAGAAGGGAACACCGATGGGCTCCCCGCTGGCTGGACTGATTGCCGAGGCTGTTCTGCAGAGGCTCGGGCGACTGGTCTTCCGTTCGTACTACCCAAAATTCTGGGCCAGATACGTCGACGACACATTTGTCGTAATCAAGAGGAACGACGTTCAGGACTTCAAATTCTTGTTGAACTCAATATCCCCCGACGTCCAATTTACAATGGAAGAGGAGGACAACAACCAGTTGCCCTTCCTTGACGTAAACGTCACAAGGATGGCTAATGGGGGATCAGAACTACGGTATACCTAAAGGCAACGAATACCAGACTCATCCTCCAATTCCGGAGTAACAACCCCATTGGTCACAAACGCAGTTGTGTCAGAGCTCTTTTCCAACGAGTTTAAACACACTGTAATGACAACGACGAGAGAAGAGAGGAAGTGAAATATCTACACTCCCTATTCACAGACAAGGGTTACCCACGATCCTTCATACGTGAGAGCCGAAGAGGATTTAACCGCGAACAATCTAACGATGAGAAGCCGAAGTTCTGGCTCGCAATCCCCTCCATGCGGAATGTTTCTGAGGCGACAGCAAGAATCCTGAGACCTTTTGGGATTGTGGTGGCCCATAAACGGGAATCCACTATCAGGCAGCAGATAATGAGGCCCAAGGACCAACTACCGGAAACGGAACAATCAGCAGTGGTCTACAGCATACCTTGCCAAGATTGCAGTGCAAGATATGCTGGTGAAACGGGCAAACGCCTCTGCACAAGATTGCACGAGCACCAGCTCTCGGTCAGATAAGCTGTCACTGGTATATGGCCACATGCAACAGGAGAAACACAATTTCGCCTTTGGGGAGGCAAGCTTCATCGGCCGAGCCAGCGACAAGATGGCCAGGCTGGTTCTCGAAAGTTGGTCCTAAGTTGACACAACTAACTGAGCCATTGATCTTCATCCGGCCTACCAGGCACTTCATACGAGGCTCCAGTCAGTTCGGACGGGGCCGACAGCACTGGCGAACAAATCGTGGCTCCCTCAACATTTGTCACCTTCACAGCAGGGGGAGAGAGCCAGCTGGGGGTCAGACGACGGACGCGAGACATCGACCCACCGACGCGCCCAAACAGCTGACCGCGATTCCCACATGCAACGGCAGCTGATCATCCCGTCAGATTATGGGGGGAGGGCCCACGGGCACACGGACCGGCGGCCGGGCAGGAGGCAGAGGTCACAAGAGCGCCCCAGCGGCCGGCCACTGAGAGACTAAAGCCAATCCCCCGCTAGCAAGCAGGTCAGAGTTCTTGTATCAGGCATGCCTATAACATGAGACAGGCGGCGAGACAGAACAACTCCGGGCTAGCAGGAACAAACACCCTACCACTAATCTGATTATGGAAACGAGGAAGTTTCCGAAACGCCAGCACCAATACAGTGTGGTCCATGGAATCGCCTCTTTTTCTTCTTCGTCTTCTTTTGGGGATGATAAACGAAATATGCATATACATACCCAGCAAAACTCGTGACATGTGCGCAGTTTGTCATCTTTTAAAAACCCAAAGATTATATTGGCGAAATACACAACGCAGCGGAAATGGATGAATATAGTGGGGATTGCTATTTGCTAGTATGCGGAAACAGGAAATTCGGATAAGTAATATCGATAAATAGGGGAACCGAAACAGGCGGAAAAGCATGTTAGCCAGTTCATCAGACTTGTCCATGACATACAATTCATTATCCGAATGTCAAAATAACAGACTATGAGACCTTTTGAGTTATGTAAATGTTTGTCGAAAATTGCAAAGGGCGCTTACAAGAGGTCCTCCTCGGAGTTGAAATGGGGCTCGTGGCAGTCATGTTTTGTTCCGACAACGCAGTCAAAAGCCTGCCTCTACGTGGTGAAACGGTGGCTTGTGGGCATCGTCCACGTCTGTCTCCGGTCATCCTGACTTTGTCTTGTCTTCGAAACGCGATACAGGTGTGGGAGGAGGGGATGAGGTGGAGGTACCACAAGCCGGTCTCGCCGTAAACAAACCCACGCGCAAGCCACCGCACTTAGGCCCAGCTTATGGAGCACCAGTGGACTCCGTCGGTTACGACGATTGGAATGTTGGGTTTCGTCCATCTATGATTAGTGATGTGAAAAGACAATTCACCGACATACTCGACGGATGTAGCCCTTATGAACAGAAATGACGAGGAACAGGAAAGCCATAGCACTCCAACTTGACCTACTCGTATCCCCTATTTATGTCCTTTCAGGAGGTTTGATTCCAATGACCCTAAAAGATTATGACGCCAGTCCGACCCCAGAAATAGAATGAGTCAGTCAGCTCAGACAAACGAACGTTTTGGCGAGGTTTGGTCTTGCAGGCCCGCCTTATTTATACTGCATGGGTAGCTTACTAACCATACAGCGGGTGACCGATCTCATGAAATGTTGGCTGAAATTCTGAAATGCGTTTTCAATTAGGAAGGATCACTTAAGCGAGGTTGCAAAGCTCATTTTCTTGCGGCATCATTCTATAATATTTTGGACTCGTCAGGATGTCAGCTTTTGAGTGCATTGTTTTTCAATTTCTTATAGAGACTGTACTGGGCAAAAAATGACTACTTAATTAAAATGCATTTTTTTCCATTAATTTTCGGTAGTCTAGCGATTTCAAATAAATTTTATAGAAATCACGAGTAAAGCTATGCTTTTCTTCAGTCATTTAATGGAGAATCCCGTCGTCTTTATATTTTATACTCAAAGAGGGAGTATAATTAGGTTTTAAAAAAGTCTTCTAATTGCCGAATAATTTGGAGTCTGATCAGTCGTTGCATTGGCGCTTAATGATTACAACCCACAAGGTGCATGCGTTCTGCGTAAAGAAAATCACATATTCTTCTATGATTTTAAAAAGGTACGATATGGAGTTCATAAACATTTGCAATGGATGCGGACCATGTTGTGCATTTCATCAGGAGCAGTGGTAAACGGACAGGTACGATGTTGTATGAATGGACACTGCGCGATGTCAAAAATCGCATAATCATAAACTTTTTTAAAACCTAATTATACTTCCTTTTCTGGTTTAAGATATACAATTGACGTGATTCTCTATCAAAAGACTGCAAGTAAGCCTATTTTTTCGGGACTTTTATAAAATGTTTTTGAATTTGCACGACTACCGAAAATTAATCAAAAAATGCATGTTAATTAAGTAGTCATTTTTTTACCCAGTACAGTTTCTATAAGAAATTGAAAAATAATGCACTCAAAAGCTGACATCCTGGCGAGTCCGAAATATTATAGAATTATGCCGCATATTATGCATATTATAGAATTATGCCGCAGCTTTGCAACCTCGCTTAAGTGATCCTTCCTAATCGAAAACGCATTTCAGAATTTTAGCCAACATTTCATGAGATCGGTCACTCACTGTACATATCTAAGTTAGCCACTGACTGGATCAGGAAGGGGAAGAGAGTGCGGACAGAGCTCGAAGCACGCGCAGGGAAGCGCGTGTGAAGTGAGACTTGGTGGAACCGAAAGTGGCGTGTACACATTCCCTCCGGCAGCCACTCGGTGAATTAAGAGGATAAGGAGGGCGCAATTGTAAATGGAAGGCCTTGGAGGGGACCGCATGTTAATTCGTAGTGCGTGGCCACTATAGAGGAACCGACGGAGTTGCACTCCGTCCGAACA